TCTTCTTCTTCTTCTTCTTCTTCTTTTAAAGCTAGATTCTTTCTACGAAGGCCAACAGGAGTCAAAGGAAGATCTCCCCCAATATTTTCATATAAAATATCTCTTTACACCACCAACAACCAAAAACCCAAACCCATTGTCATCAAGTTGATTCCAACTTATAGTGAGTGGCCCTATAGGACAGAGTAGAACTGCCTCTGTAGGTTTCCAAGACTAAATCTTTAAGGGAGTAGAAAACTTCATCTTTATCCCAAGATGCAGCTGGTAACTCTGAACAGCTGTTCTTGTGGTTAACAGACCAACAGGTTACTCATTATGCTACCAGAGCTCTACTCTGTTACCAAGAGAACATACATTTAACATACTAACCTATATGATAGCACCCAAACCCTGCTACATTGTTTGGATCTATAATTTAATATCCTTCAGATGTCTTACATATAGATGTATTCTCAGCTCCAAGATGGAACTAAAAGCCATTATCTTTAAAAATTCTCCATATCACATCCTACTCAATCCTAAAATTCAGACCATAGAATCCTACTCCCCTTTTCCCCCTTCTGCCTTTACTCAGTAAATCATGATGATGTGACCATCTTCAAATGATTCCATCTTACTGTTCTCCCAAGTTTGTTTCTCTGGGATGATCCAGTTTACCTTAACATTTATATTTTATTCTTACTCTGTTCCAAGTGGGCAAACTCATCTACCTCAATCAGACAATTCTAGAAATTTCCACACATGGGCAAAGCTGAACAGCTGCATACAACGAGAGATCACAGGTGACCAAAAAATTACACTTGGGGAGAAATACTGGAAGGAATGTTTCATCAGTAATGAATCTATCTAGCCGACGAATACACTTAAGATTTCTTCACCTCCGTCAAGTTTCTCCTTGACAGTACAAGTTTAACTGCTACTTAAAGACCACAGCAGCCCAAAGGTGAATGATTCTATATTGCTAAAGTTGAGGCATTCTCTTCAAATTTCACTTTACACCGCCAACAAGCAACAATTCCACATTCTCCTCCGACCACACAGATGTGTTCCTCTGTGTCCAGGACCCATCCTGCGAAGTGCTCCCTTGAGCACATGGAACCTACACCCAGTGACCCAAACCTAGCAAGACACGTTTCTAAATTGTAAGTAGAAAAGAGCCTTCCTACCACATGCGCCCTCTAATTATGGCTCTTTAAATATCTGGTTAACGAGAAGAAATGTTTTCATGTAGCCTATACATGAAGTACATAGTAAACTCAGACAGATGTACCTCTTTCAACCAAGATCCCTACTCCAAGCGGGTACAAACAGCTAATGTGTTAAAGGGGCCAGTTCCTAATTGTTGGAGAGTCAAGTTCATGCAGGGGCAGTTGGAAGAAAGTCCTGGTAATCTACTACCCCAAAATCAGCCATTGAAAACCCTGCGGGGTACAGTTTTATTCTGACACACAGCGGGCCACCATGAATTGGAGGTAACACAACAGATGCTGGTTTTATGACTCATTTTCAGACTGGATATAAATTGGCTGTAGATAAGTTGTTCACAGTTGGGGGAGAACTGGTAGTTAGTAAACTGAGCATCATAGGGAAGGAAATTATACCAGCGCTGCAATCAATAAAAGACAAATCAATAATTTCACTTTTGATTCTATACTGTATAATTGTTTTCACAATGAGAATATATAAACTGCATGATTTCCATAACTTATATATTGCTCATCAATTTAGCTCTACTTATTTTCTTATAACAATTCATTTTAGGGGTAAAATTTATATCGGGTGACATGTGCATATCTTCCATACCTTTTCAGACATGTATACAACATACAGCATGTAATGGCACCTTAAGATATTCAAATATACAGTCCTTTCACCTTGGGGGGA